TTGAGAGCAATTTCCTTTTACATTCCCAGTAATTACAGATCCTAAACCCGTACCATACTTATATTCAGTCAGTGAAAAACAGTATCTGGTATAACAAATACCACAAGGGTCAAATTACTGAATCCAGAACATTCTCGCTCTCTCCGTATCAAAAACCACTAGAATTTCCAGTGGAAATCTGCCTAACTTCACAAAGAAGTTAGTCAAAATTATCAGAATTACTATGAAAAACATACACGCTATGGAAGCACCATATAATTAACTGTTACAGATTTTTATCCTAAGGAACAAGATACCAAAGAAGCAAAGAAGGTCTGCAGGAAAGCTAGAAAAGTGACTGGAAATAACGATGATTGCAAAGGAAGTGATGCTTTGGCTATGTCTAGGCTCACAGGTTCCCACGTTCCCTTCATAGTTACCCATATTCAGAAGAATACCCTTACCACGGATGACCATTTGTGGCCTGGGATGCTGGCTTATTCAAATACGCAGACACAGCAGCAAGAAACCAACTTTTCTCACCTCATCCACACCTGTACCTCACAGGGCTTCTCAGCCACCAGGGTGAAGACAGGTAGAAGAAAATGGAATTACCTCAGAGGGATCATGAACCCACTGGCCATCCACAAAGAATTTGTACTGGTGTTCACCTTCAGGAAGATCCAGAATAGCAACAAAGTCGTTGTGGCTGAAAGAAGAGGGAGCGATCCACAGTGAGAAACACAGAGCATAAAGAACGTGGCCTGTCTTGACTCTTTTCTCTGGCTTGGATAAAAACAGCAAGACATACTCAGCCAAAGGAAAAGATGAAGATCTGTTTAAGCAGCTGCAACTGTTTCAAAAGGAATCTACAAAGTTGCTTCATGAAAGTTCCCATGAATGAACCGAAAGAAGGAGACCTATTGAACTTGTTAAAATGGAAGTATTCACCTTTCTGGACTGTGAGAGCTATTATGCAGTGAGCAGCCAGCCTCCTGAAGTTGTGGGTGCTCTCAAGAAAAGACTGGGCAGCCATTTGTCCGGCAGGGTACGAGGATTCCTGCACTGGGCAGGCGGTTGGACTAGATGACCTCTAAGGTCCCTTCCAGTCCTATGAAGCTGTTTTAAACAGGTCTGCCCAAGAAATACTGTACATTGTTAGAGAGATAGTAACCTAATAATCCCTTTGGAAAGACTCACCGTGAGCAGGTCAAGGTGGGTCTGGGCCACTCTGGGTGAGGATTTGGGGGGTGCAGATGAGAGTTACCGAGTGCCCCTCACCTGGGGGTGATCTAAGGGCCCGTCTGCATTGGCCTGGAAGCCTCCCAAATGGGCAGCTGCTGGCAATCAGGAGGTAAGGAGCTCATCTTAACCCTCTGAGCTCATCTGTACATTTTGTACCCAGAAGGAAGCGTGTCCAGACAGACCTAATCCAAATGAGAGGACTCACATATCTGTTACAGAACCTTCTGCCTCACTCCTAAGCACTTCCCGCCCTTGTACCTCCCTCCCTCCCTCCCAATATCAAGCAGGAGATTTGGATAGATTCAGGAGCAGGAGAACAGAGCAAATTTTCAGAAGACCAGCATCCATCCTTAATTGCTAAACCTTTATGCTTCAGACTTGTTCTTATCAACTAGACTCATATTCTGCCAACATTTCAGAAATGGGATTCTTCTGGGCAATAGCCTGGTATCCTCTTGCAGCACACATGGCAATACAAGATTTGGAGCCTCAAAAGCAATACTAAGCCAAAGAAGATGTTCTCCTGGTCATCTATTCCCAGTTTCTCCATTTATAAGGCATGTTTTATATTAGCTTTTTTCATAAAACAGGTTCCGTTTAAAAAAAAAAAGGAGTCACATAAGAAAGATGTGTAATTTTCAAATTTTATTGCTTAAAAAAATGACACTACTGTAGCGAATAATTTTAAACTTGGTGTCCGTGTTTTCCTTGATTGGATGCTTCACTGTGCCAACTTCAAATTGAATCCATTAAGAATGGCACAAGTGAAGTAAGTTAAAAAGTACCGTGTTGGATGTTGAAACATTCACACTTTGTATTTCAATGTTCAGAGAGATGTTCTGTTTGTTTGTTTGTCACATTTATATAGCCACCCATCTCACATAAAGTGACTCTGGGCGGTGTACAACATTTAAGTAAAACAGCAAATAGATAAAAAACATTCATTATAAAAAGGTAAAAATTAATTTTTAAATGAAAATATTATCAAAAAGTTTGAAATATACAAACCCCATGGAGAGAGCAGAATATCAATCATAGTGGAGCCTTCTAAGAATGTCTCCGGTTCCCAAAGACCCTCAGACCTGATGACACAACCAGGTCTTGAGGGACTTCCTAAATGACAGCAGGGAAGGGGCGAGCCTCACTTCAGGGGGGAAATGTTCCACAAGGACGGAGCCACGGCAGAAAAGGCCCGCCTCCTGGGACCCACCAAATGCAAGTCCCTGGCTGATGGAACCTGTAGCATATCTTCCCTGCCAGATCTAATGGGATGGGTTGATATAATCAGGGAGAGGCAGTCCCTCCCCAATTACATGGCCTGGCCTCATGCCTTAGTTTGGGCTTAAAGTTTTTAGCCAATGCTTCTTGCCCTGTGTAGAATAAAAGTCAAACAATGCACCCCCCTGCCACTATAGATACTGTTTCAGTAAAGTTAAAAAAAAAAATCACTTCACCCTGTTTCACCTTTTAATGAGAGGAATCTTAGTGCTCCAATTGTTGAAAGATCCTGAGATGAAAACTTCTTTGCCTCCATCTGTCCAGCGGATGACTGTGGGACGAGCCTGCTGGGCTGGTTTAACTAACTCATCCAAGTCATGGTGCCATGATACAAACTCTTTTTCTCCAGGAAGCTGCAGAAAGAAGGCAAGAATTATATCTTGTCCTAGTCATCCTGTACACAAAAATCCAAATCCCATTTCCTAGATTAAGGTGGTACATAATCAAGTGATGAGTGAACACATTTCCCAGTTACTTTAAGCATTATGAAGGAGAGAAATCTGGAGAATTACCAGGCAGCAGGTTGGAAGCACATACTGTAGTCCGAACAAATAGCAGCTGAATGTTGCATATGGGCCATGAGGTGCCCAATTATACATCATAAATCACTATTATAATCACAACCACAACTATGCATATCAGAACAAGTGATAATGTTGTTAGAAAATCCTAAAAAGCATCAGCCAAATGCTGTACCTTAGATTCATGGGTGCTGAAGATGTTGGGGTCATCAGTGCTGCCAACCATGATCTTGTGTGAATGATCTTTGGTGTGGTGGATGGGTCCCTCTGAGCGGTGAATCTTGGAACTGTGGCGTTCTCCTGACATCCTTTCACTTGTGGTGTTCCCCATGACTCCGCTGCAAGATGGCAAAAGAAAAGAATGAGCACCAATTACAACTGTCATAGACATAATGTAGCCCTCCATCCTCAAAGGAGCCAGAGAGGAGTACTGCATCTTCCTACAGCTCATAGCGGGCAACAGGTTCCTATAGCCATGAGAAGGAATACAAAAGAAATGCGCCAACAAACAGAATTGCAAAATTGGTAGCAGAATTGCAAAATTCATAACAATCACAGAATCATAGCGTAGGAAGGAGACTGTTAAGCCAACCAATCAAGCCCCTGCTCACTCCAGGAATCCAAATTAAAATATCCCAGAGAGACATCTAGACTCTGCTTTAAAATACTAAATGAAGAGAAGCCCACTATCTCTAGCGACAACTGGTTCTGCTGCTGAACTGCTTTTACCATTAGGAATCTTTTTCTAACATCAGTTGGAATCCTGTTCTTCTTCTAATCCATTCAGGTTATTCAAAGAATCCTATCATATCCACCATCAGTCATCTCTTCTCAAAACTAAACATATCAAGCTTCTTCCATCTCTCTTCATAAAGCTTAGCTTCTAGTCCCTTGATTATCTCCAGTTGCCCTTCTCTGAACCTGTTCCATTATCTCTGAATCCTTCTTAAATGGTGGTGCTCAAAACTGGACAAGGTGGGAGCTGACCAAAGCAGAACAGAGTGGAATGATGACTTCCTTCGATTTGAAAATTATACTTCTGCCAATTTGTATTCTTTGCAACCATATCATACTGCTGGTTCACATTCAGTTTGCAATTAACTACCATGCCTACTGTCTTCTTAAGAAAGATCTTTTTCTTAGAATAAGTATTATTACCGAAACAAACACCCCCTCATCCTATACCAGTGCATCCCTGACACATCTCTCTCCATTCTGATCATTGATGAGTACTTTTTAAGTACATCTCAGATTCATCTACATGTATATTGTCCTGCCATCCAGCCCCGCTTGCTAATCAGCATGTCATGGGATATTTTGTCACATGTTTTCCTGAAATCAAATCCTGAAATATTATGACCACACCATTCTCATAATCTATTTGGAGAGTTACCAATTAGAAAATGAATTAAATTTAGTCCTGCAAGATTTGTTCTTGACAAATGCATACTAATTTCTGATCACTACTGCATTATTTCAAGGCACTAACAACCTGAACTCTTTAGAATCTTCCCAGGTACCAATGACAGACTGGGTGGTCTGCAGTTTGCTGGAACTTCCTCCCCTCCCTGCTTTTTTTCAAAACAGGGACAGCATCTGGCCTCTTCCCAGTTCTCTGGCACATTATCAATACTCTAAGATTTCTCAAAGAAAAGGATTTGGTAAGAGGATCTGCTTGATCCTTCAGCATCATTGAATACGAATCATCCAGCCACAGAGATGCATTCCAAATAAGGAGGAATTTCCTGACCATGTATCTATCACTTTCAGCCTTCCATCCTGACCTCAACCTTTCCTGGGGGAAAACACACTTTTTAGTTGGAGAAGACAGACCAAAATAGGAGGTGACTGCATTTTCTGTTACCTTTCTTTACTTTGTTACTGTTACTTGTTAGCATTTTGTCTTCCTCACAGAACAGCTAGCATTCTTTTCTTTTCCAGAAGAAAAAAGAAGCTTTTAGAACTAGGGAGGGTCTTGTCTGAGACACTTTCTCAGGTTATAATTCTGTCCTGGACTCAGATTTCTTGGAGATTGCGGCTCTTCCTCCTGTTCCTCAATATTATTTCTTCTGCCCATTACATACGAGGAGAAAGTGGGCTTGCAGATACCCAGAACCTGAACCATGAAGGGCTTTAAAGGTATAAATCAAGCACCTCAAATTGCACTCAGAAGCCAACCGGCAAACAGTGCAAATCTCCAAGTAGAAGCCTTGAGGCACACCTCACGCTGCTGCATTCTGGAATAGCTGTAGCTTCCAATTGCTCTTCAAGGGCAGCCCCATGTAGAGTGTGTTGTAGTAGTCCAACTGAGAGGTGATTAAGGCATGATAGTGAGTAATGCCTCCCATTCCGGGAAAGGTCACAACTGGTGCACAAGATGGAGCTGTGCAAAAGCCTTCTTGACCACAGCTGCCTCTTGTTCCTTAAGCAGGAGCTGTGAATCCAAGAGGACCTCCAGATTGTGAGCCAGCTCTATGAGGGAAAGTGCAGCTTATTCAGAGCTAACAGTTAAATCTCACTGGAATTGGTAAGCCTTCAAACCCAAAGCACTCCATCTTTCTGGGGTTGAGTCTCAACCTGTTCCTACCCATCCAGAAGCCTCCAGGCATCTGGACAGCACTTCAACAGCTTCACTTATTTAGCCAGAAGTTGAGATATAACATTGGGTATCACCAACGTACTGATGAAACCTGGCCCTATGCTGACAGATCATCTCACTCAGCGGTTTCATGTAGATGTTGAATAGGAGTGGGTGAGTATTGCACCCTACAGCATTTCACATATCTGTGGATGTAATAAGAGCTGAGAAATGTTGATATTTCACTGCTTATTGCCACAGTGTAGGCCCAAATATGGACTCTCACTCCTCATTTTATGCCAGCGGTATGCTAGCATCTCTTAGTTCACTTCATTCCAAAGCTCTTTGGAAAACCTCATGTTGGTGAACCAGGAGAGGTATTCAGAAGAAACTTTGACTAAAGGCAATCCCTGTTCCAGTAGGCAGCTAAAGCCTTGACAGAACTGTCCACCATCAACTCAGGAATCTCCCCAAACATTCTTTGCAAGGTGAGTGGCTCCATTGGGGCAGACTGATCAAATGGGTTCATCCTCCCTGCAGAGGTTTGCAGCCCCAGACAACTCCACAGTGATCAGGGAGAATCTGACCATGACAAGGATGAGATTTTAATGTCCCAAGCCTTAGATCACATCACAACTGTCCCGAGACAAAAACAAGATCTTATAGGCTACAGTACATCTTATATACCAAACAAAATCAATATGGGCTTATTTTGAGTTTCTTGTGCTTTCTTCTTTCCAGGATTCAGTAATCCTTTCTGAACTTCCTCCTCCCTTAATGGTGCATTCATCCCTTCCCCATTTCCAAAATCAAGTTTACTTTCCATCACACCAAGTCAGATCCATCCTTTCATCCACAATGAGATTGTGAATAAGACAAGTTTTATTACAGACAGACCTGGTCTTCAGCTGTAGGTGAAGGCCAGTGGCTCTGAGAATCTGGTAACCTAATCTCTGGGGCAGAGGACACGGGACCAGATATGGGGATTGGCCTCAAGTAACCAATACTTCTTCCACAAGAGCAGTCCTTATCTCCCTCTACCAATCACCATCCTACCTTTTAAACCTTCCTTTGTCTCCCCTTTCCCCCACTCATTCCAATATGCCTAAGAGGGTTCTCTGCTACTAACCCATCCAATATCCTCTCCATCGATCTCCACACACTCTACCCATTCAAAACACTTCCCTGGCTGTACTTAACAATATCAATTCTGCAGCCACTGCCCCATTCAACTTCCATCCACTACCTCATAGCCCATCTACCCCTCTTCTCACTAGAGATGGTCCCATGCTCTGCCCACCTTCTCCTGGAACTTGCTCACTGAGAGGAAGAGTTCAGTTTACTTTTCCACACTCTTGCCCACACACCCTTCCTTGGCTTTCAGCTGATAGATTTTTGCCTGGTTTCTTTCAGAGGAAAAAAAAAAAAAAGAAGCCTTCCTTGGCTTTCAGCTGATACATTTTTGCCTGGTTTCTTTCAGAGGAAAAAAAAAAAAGAAGCCTTCCTTGGCTTTCAGCTGATACATTTTTGCCTGGTTTCTTTCAGAGGAAAAAAAAAAAAGAAGCCTTCCTTGGCTTTCAGCTGATACATTTTTGCCTGGTTTCTTTCAGAGGAAAAAAAAAAAAGAAGCAACAGGGCAGGAATGGGGCTAGCTGGAAAGAAGATTGGGGGAGGATAAGATATACTGCTGGTTCCCCCCCCCGCCCCCCAGCTCCACTTCTTTTTTTGGTGACAGGATCAACAACCTTGGTGTTCCTGGCCAGCCAGCTTGGTGCCACAACTTCCGAACTTCAAGAGCTGCCTCAGTTGGGGCTCATGGGAAAAGCAGGGCTAGATGTCTCTATATCTAGTTTCTTGTTGTTATTCTCAACCTCTGAGCTTGCTCCTCTGTTTATCTGGCAGGTTGCTTCTAATCTCCATTTCTGTTGCAGAACTACCTTTCTTTCACATTTTAAATTGTCTTCCTGTTTCATCAACTGATAGCTACTCTTTGCTTCAAACTTTTGATATTTTTTTTTCAAGAACTGCTACTGGCTTGCCTTTCCTGAAAATGTAGACCAGATGTTTTGGGCAGGACATGTGACTATGTCACATGTATTGAAGATAAACATGTCCACAACTGTAGACACCTGTTTATTCATTGACACTTTTTCTTTTCTTGAGCATCATGAATAGAAAGGCTTTTATTTCTTCTTGTTGCTGTTCCTTTCTTGGGCTCTCATATTAGTCAAGTATGACTTAGAGGGAAAAACTGATAGGGGCAGCCCTCAAACTCTCCTAGCTAACTCCTGATAGTTTTCTCTCTATACTTGCTTAATGAGCTCACTCCCTGGAACTGGACTGCCTTAATATTCCTCTTACAGATTCCTGTTTTCTCAGCAAGAAGCAGTCCAATTACCCAGAATGGCTACCAGTGACAGGCTTCAGCCTAATCAATACTCAAACTGGAATGCTTGCTGTCAGAGATTCAAGGACAAAGTGCTGATAAAAATGCTTTTATTACAGATGCTAGAAAAGCTCTTAAAACACCAAGACCAGATGTTTAGCCCTTTCATGGTTCTCAGAAAGCCTTGTCCTGCTCTTTTTCATATCTGGGATAGACCTCTTTGGCAAGAGGGTACATTGCCATGGCTGAATATAAGCTCCTTGAAGTGTTTTAAAACAGCAACAAAGGTTAGATTTACAATTTCAGTGGGTTGGTTCTGCCCTGAAACCCTAAATTCTAACAGCTGCAGAAAACAAAGGCTTTATACTCCTGTTTAGATGTTTACATGCATTTAATTAGGCAAATGTGACAAAGCCAACGGAAACCACAATGTATGCTATGCATGAAGCCTTTTATTTCCACGGCGAAGAGTTTGCAGATACACCAATGCTTACAATGAACACAAATCCCTCTCCCTAGGTTCAGCAGTCTTTTATTCTTCCACAGCATGGAAATCTTTTCCTCTTACCACTTTACCTCCGAAATATGAGCTCCCTAAGCATTCTCAAGCCCTGTACATTGCCCCCTACAGGTATTTGATTTCGCCTGCAAAGCTCCCGATGACCACTAGAGGGCATAAAAGAGACACAGAAAACCCTAATTCCTATCATCTAATGATCATCCAGATTTTCACAGCCCAGATCTGATAGCGATAGTATCTGCAGACAAGGACAGCCCTACTGCATACTTGCTGGTACGAAGGAAGCTTCTATACTTGTTCAAAGATTCACTTCCCCAATACTATTTCCCATCACCAAGGGGCAGGCTGACATACAAACAAGTGCAGAAGCTAAAACTGGGGTGGGTCAGGGAGCAGGTTCGAGTCCTGTACTCTGATGTTCTCTACCTTACCTGTCTCTTGAAACACATTAAGTTATATTAAAAGCATACTGAACAAGAAGTAGAATTTTCTTGGAAGCACTGTGATAATAGATTCTTTTTAGGGTAGACAGTTCATACATAAAGATATCATCAGCAATAAATACAGTACGAGATCAAGACCAAGATGGCCAATCACAATTGGAGGGGTGGTATATCCTGTCATGCCAGACAAACAGGCTGAAATAGGGGTCGCCCCTCCCATTGCCTTTGGAATGGATTTCTTCTGTGGTGGTGGGGAGGCTGGGTATCGTGCCATAGTCGAATGTAGCCTGAAGAAAAACTGCAAACACCAACCGTGCTTCTTGCAGCTACAGTGGCGGATGAAAAGAATTTAGCTTCTTTCAGCCTGTGCGCCTGAGACAGCTGAATCACGTGGTCTCAAGTTCTATTTATTGCAACCTCAGGCAGAATTCCTGGGAAGCTGTCCTTGAACAGGCAAAGTTAGGCTTTTCTTGTCCTAACTCTAATTGTGGAAGAACGGGAGGACGCATTTCTTTAACTACAGTATACTTCTCTAAAACTATTTTTAAGGAGTGCGTTCGTAAGTGTACAAGGTGTACCAACTCCTGCACAGTCCAGCGACATTCCGAAGAGTGCGAGACGGCGGGCAAGAAGGATCCCATCATGACCAGCAACATTTCGGGAAAAAGATACACAAAGCGACTACAGTTGCTAACCTCAGTTCCCACTGAAATCCATGGGATTTAAGGCGTGCCTCTTTTATCCCAGTTTCTCATACACACCGGCGCCACCGCTCAATCGAGTGGGCGGCGAGCAATCGGCAATGGATTCCCAGATTGAGACGTCACTCTGGGACGCGACGCCACGAGAACAGGCAGCGGCCACCTTCCCGAGCTTGTTGCGGAGCACCGCCTTCCCCCACACCAAAACCAGGCGCCGCCTCACCCCTAGCTTTCGCCCACGAAGCCGAGAGTTTGTGGTATCTTTACCCTTGTTTCCTCCTCCTCCTCTTTGGATCCCTCCCCAGGGAGGGCGCTGTCCAAGGCAGACAACTCACCTGGAGAACTACTTCCGACACACGCCTGCTTACTCACCCGCCGCCGGTATTAAAATGGCAACGCGGCCAGAAATAGAAATCGAAGGGCGGCGCATGCGCAAGGCGCCGGTCTTTTTTCTCCCCGCCGCGCAGGAGAAAGCACCCTCAAAGAGCGAAGAGGGCGACGGAGCGGGTGTTGGGAACCCTCGCGCTTCCTCTTACCATCAGAAATCTCTCCAAGAAAAGTGTCCTGGAGAAAAGATGAGCTATTTGTTGCCATCTGGTCGTCGTCCTGATTTTTGCAGCTTCGATCCGGTAGACTCGGGCAAAAGGTAAGTATCGGTGTGAAGGTAAAGGTTGGGAAACGTAGCACAGGATGAGAAACGTCTTTCGGTACAGAATTCTGGCATGGAAACTCTGTCTTTATAAAGAGGCGCAGCTGAACGAAACTACTGACCCAGCAAAGCAACCAGCCGATCCTCTTCTGCCTACCGAGTGGAGCGTGGAAGAAGGAAGGAAAGAAGGAAAACCCTCCCAGCAGGCAGAAACTCTAATCCAAAGGTAGAAGAGTTGTTCAGAGGCGAGAGGGGGAGAGGAAAAAGTGGCTACTGCTGAATTTAGGAATCTCCATTCGGTCGCCCTTTAAAGGTTGGATTATCCTATGCGGGGTCGCACGGATTTTTGCAGCTCCTTAAGCCCTCCTTAAGAAGGGTTTCAGGCATACCTTGTTGGCCTTCAGTTTCAGTCATTCCTGCGCGTGGTGGTGAAGATTTCAGATAGTCCCTGCGATGATACAAAGAATTTTAAAGATTAATGTTCAGATGAAACCAGAATTTTTTGTTGGGACTTATGAACAGCCAGTTAGAAAAGACTTATGCAAGATTGGTTTAGTACATGGTAATTGCAACAAGACTATTATACGCACAAAGATAGAGAAATTAGTGAAATACCCACAATGGAGGAGTGGATGGTGAAGATGACAGAATTTGCAGAAATGGCAAAATTGACCTGTTTGATCAGTGATAAAACAATAAATACTTTTATAAAAGACTGGAAATCTTTTATGAACATTTTGCTGAAAATGGAAAAAAATGAAATGGTGATTTTTGAGATTTACTGATTTAAAAGGATTGAATATGGAAAGAAGGGAACCATGTAATGCAATCTTAAAGAGAAAGGAGAAATAATAAATTTGTTTCTAACTGCTGTGAAGAAGATCAGAAGTCTTTCTTTAGATTTTTTTCCTTTTCTATCTGTATTGTTTCTTGCACGTTCTTTTTCTTATCCTTTATATATTTTCATGTTTATCTTTTACTTATGTAAAAATCTCTTAATTAAAAATTATATATGTAAAAAAGATTTCAGATAGTCCCTGGGCAATGTCCCTAGACCAGCGAAGAAACAAAGTGAGCTCCTCTTCTTGAAAATGTAAAATCCTGCTGCGTCCACAGATTCAGTGGCCACTGGCGCCATCTCAGGTCCCTCCCCAGCCAACACTAATCCCTTTTTGGCCAACATGGGTGCCAAGGAGCGGGGAAGACACACCTCCAGCCTGCTGCCTTCACAAGTCTCACTGAAAATCCACCACTCCAATTGCCCTTATCAGTACTCTCCTCATGCCTGTTCTACCAAGCTCCTTCCATAGTGTGTATTGGCTCCCTAGCACCTCTGCAAGCCTCATCCGCAATTGCCCACACCATAACTGCATCTTGACTGCCAATTGCATGGGGATTTACCCCCTCTGATGAAGTCAGGACACGTTTCACTGTTTATTTGAAGCTCTGGAATCATCACAAACCCGGGTCCTGCAAGGGAGTTGGGTGGAATTGCCAGATCCTGTGTCTTTTCATTGGGGACCAAAGCTCCTACTAGGCAAAATGCATAGAATGAAAAGGAGGCGGAGGAATCTGTATTTTGGTGAGAATATGCTGAGAAGTTGGTGTCCAAGTTGAATAAATAAAAATAAATCATCAGCATACTGATGATGCTTAATCATGTAGCAAGAAATGACCTCACCCAGTGGCTTCATATAGATGATAAGTAGCTGTGTAGAGTATAGCAACCTGAAGAATTCCACAAAGTAGGGGTCTAGGACTAGATTCCTCCCGCTACCCCCTCACCAGCACTGACTAGAATCAGCCTTGGAGAAAGGAAGAGAACTATATGCCTTCCACTCCCTACCCCCAAAGCCAGTCCAGGAGTCCACAATTAATGCATGAAAGGCTGGTGGGAAATCAAGGAGGTCCAAGATGGAGGTGCCGCTCCCATCCCAGTCTCCCCAAAGATCATATACAAGGGCAGTCAATGCCATCTCACTGCTATATGTGACTGCATCGCTTAGTAATGGCAATCTCAGCAGTCTCCATTGTCTTTATTAACTGAATCCCATCCACTCTGATTCAAGCCATTACTGGTTTGGTCCCTCCCAGCCCTGAGCGTTGGTAAGGTAAGGGACTGCCGCCTCTGTCTTGTCTTCAGCTCCCCCCACCTGGCTCTCTCCCCCCCCCCCGCATCTCTGCCCTTTTGGCCGCCCTACATAGCGGCATGTTTACCATTGCCAAGCCAGTTATCCTATGCATATTGTTCCTCAAGTTCCTTTTGTTTCCTAAGTAAAAAACTGCATTTTTTTTTAAATTTCTATCATATTCCTCTGAGTTTTGGTGTAACAAAACTTTCTCTAGTCTTCAGTGATGAAGAAAGTGAAAAATAAAAATTGCACTGACAGAATATTGACTGAGAAGAAAGTGGTGAGGAACTGGGAAAGAGGACTCAAATGAATATTTTGTCTCTCAAAATCTTAAAAAGTTCGTGACTTTGGGCATTGCCTGCCCCTCTGTTCAGCTGCTTGGCCCTGGTAGTGGCTCTCCAAAAGGACCCTAACCGCCCTCCCCAGTACGAATCACAAGTACTTCAGGCAAAGCGAAAAGGTGTTTATTAAGGGGGGGTCAAGTCTTTATATAGGGTACAGAAACAAATGATACATATATTTGGTATATGTGATGAGTCAGAAAGCAACAAATCAAACAATTAAGACATTAATCAGACGTGAGAAAAGATGGACTTCCTTAAAATACATTGCATCTTCTCCTTTCCCACCTGGGCTTGTTTCTTTAACACTGCAACACTCAAGGACTCCATAATACTCTCCCTATTGTTTAGTTTATTAATAGGCTAATTTTTGCACTAAAAAAAAAAAAGAGATGGCTTTGGCTACTGGTGTGTGTGTGCCAAATTTATTTTTTGATATTAGCCACTGTTTTCGAAGGAGGGTAAGACCAAACAATGCACCCAACAGTTAGGAACATCATCCTCACGCCCATACAAGGAAGAAGCCGGACGTGCGCGCTTTCCCACGCCTCCTATGCGTCCCATCCCGCCTTCCCTACTCCCCGCCCAGTCGTAACCTTTCTAGGTGCGGAAGTGGAAGCCGAGGGGGACCGCGCCGAGGTAAAGGCCGCTTGTTAACGTGAGGCGAAAAATCTGTGGACGTTTGGGGCGGGCGTTGGCAGCAGTCACGTGGTGCCTTGGCCGGGCGGTGGGTTTGGGAGGGAGAGCGTGCGGCGGGGGCGGGCGAGTTTCTGAGGATGGCTGCAGGGCGGCTGCTGAGGCAGGAGAAAAGCGCGGGCCCTTGTAGTCCTCGGCCAGGCGAGGAAAGGAGCAGCTTGAAAGTGCGGCCCGTTGCTTTCTTCTCCCTTCCTCCTTGGTATCTCTGGGATGTGCGTGGCATTAACCCCAAACCAACCATGCTCGAAGGCTCCCAACTCTGTTCCCTGAATGCTGAGCTGTTTTCTAAAATATGCATTAATCGTAAATATTAAGTTGTTAAACGAATAAACATATTTATGTTAGTAATTGGCATTTAACATTGGTTAAATCAATTTGCAAAAGCCTGTGGTAGGTGTCATACTTTAAGACAATCTCCAGATTGTAGAGTGAGAGAAAAGCCATTATTTAATATACTCCTCAAATAGCACTATGAAAGCACTCCAGGCGTAACCTAAGTAATGAATTTAGGGACCAGTTCAAACATGCAAACATAGATGTAGATTTGATTGTCTAGTTGCACTTTCAGCATGGGGCATGTTTATTGATTACCAATAAATATCTTTAGTCTGAACCATTTGGTAATTTATATTAAAATCCCTTTCTACATTTATTACTTTTCTTTTACGTAGGGGATAGCTTTTCATTAACATACTGTATCTTAGTCTGGCAAGACACTTTCTGTGTGTCAAGGTTCATCTAATTATCACCTTGTACTTGATTAGAAATTGTTGGAAATTGTAATGGGAGGATTGTAGAAAGGATGGTGTATGTTCTGCCCTTTAAAATGAAAAGCAACCATCCACAAAAAAAAGGGGGGGGGTTGATGTGTATGAAGTGTTTTTCATTATTTTTTATTATTTTGCTTTTTGTCAGAGCCTAAATATCTAGTCCCCTAAAACTATTCTTCAGCTTCTTCCCCATTCCCTTGCTTTTCACCTCTTTCTGAGATTTCACCAGGCACTACACATACACACTTTTAAACCCTATGCTGCCCTAAGGGCTAGAACCTTGTATTTTCAAAATGATAGTGTATGGCACCTTTTATTTCCCAAGTCTCAATAAAGCCAAATAAAAAGACTTGAGATGAGGCTTCTTTAAGATAACAGATGTATTTTGATCAAGACACAGCTGGGTGACCCCAATCAACACATTCAGAAGAGATGTTGATGAAATCACACCTCACAAAACAACATCAAAGGCTTTATAGACATGTAAATCTGTAATCAGATAGTACATCCCCTCACACCCATACA